ACCTGTGAGAATGCTGGAGGAAACGGCACATCCTTTCTCACGCAGAGGGCAGGAGGGCCACCCTGGCCTGAGCTGACACTAAAGCCAATTTCAGCCACCAATGCCACACAGACCTCATTAGCTGACCACAGGGCCATCCTGTCACCAAAAGCTGAACAAAATACTGCAAGTTAAAAGGGGGAGGAAAAAAAAGTGCTACACACAACAGACAGCGGAAAGCAGTGGGCAAGAGGCAGTTAGCATACTAAAATGCTCAGGCCAAAGCAAAGGCAGGCCGGGATGGGAGGCTGAGCAGCCAGCCACAGTGCCCCACAGCTCAGAGGTGACGTTGGCACACAGGGCAACGCCAGCTCACCGTGAGGGCACGAGCTGAGGCACTTACAGCAGCCAGAGCAACAAGGACTGGATCACCACACACAGTACTCAGGCATGGCATGATCACGCTGAGTGCCAGAAAGACACACCATGCAAACAGCAACCACCACCCCCACAAGCAGGGGCACAGGCTGGCGTCCCACCGCCAGTGTCAGCTTCCTGCCAGGCACACCCGGGCAGCCGGCTGCTGGCAGCCCTATCCGTGAGTTCCTGCCACCCGTGTGGGACAGTCAGGTGGAATTCCAAGCTCTTGGTTTCAGTAGGGCCCAGCCCCAGCAGCTGCAGGCATTCTGAGAGTGAACCAGTGGACGGAAGATGTGTCTGTTTCTCTCTGTCTGTCACTACCTTTCAAGTAAAATGAAAATAAATACTTCAAACCAAACCTGTTTCTAAGGAGGTACCAATGCCAAGGAGATGACATGGGGGGGAGGAGACAACATTTTGCAGTACATTGCACAGCGGCCTACCACACTGGTGTCTCACAGGAGTGCCGCTTCAAGTCCCAGACGCTTCACTTCTGATCCAGAAGAAGACGGCCTACGTGCCAGGGTCCCTGACACCCACATGGCAGACTCAGAGTTCCAGGCTCCTGCCTCAGTCTGACCCACCTCTGCTCCCTGCAGCCACGTGGGCAGTGGGCCCATGAATGAAGTATTTCCCTGTGTGTCTTACCCCTGCCCCATCATTCCACATTTCAAATAAATAAACTTTAAAAAGCAAGAGAGCAAAGCAGAAAAGAGCTAGAAGAAACAGGACACGGGGACCACAGACTATCAAAAGAGGAACAGAGTCTGCAAACAGGAAATGAAAGAGAAACACGAGCAGGTCACTCGGGAGACACAGGAGACAAGGAAGAAACTTGAAACTAAAAAAGGTAGAAGAGCTTGCAAAGATACATCTTTACCGAAGCTGAGTAAAAGAATCCTAAGGGAGGCTCACGTGTGAGGACCCCCCACGGAAGAAAACAGCAGGAAGGCACAGGACAAGAACAGCAGAAGCCAAAGCTTCACACACAACTGCGAGATGCCACACGACACACAACCATCGACACCGGAACCAGCCAACCGGACCACCACACCTTTAAGTCCTGGGACGATGGATAGGAGCCTTCCAGGAACATGGGATTCTCGCCGGGCTTCAACAGCAAAGTCTCATTCCCAAACAAAGCAAAATCGGGGCACAGGATTCCCAGGAAAGACAATGAACCAATCGCATGCACCCAGCAAAAGGAACCGTGTAGGCAAGATCAAGCACACACACCCAGCAAAACAAATTCTGGCCAGCACTGAGGCGCTCCCAGCCACAGGGGCACGGCAGGCGGCCCAGCCACACAGCCACTCCCTGAAGGACCGTGCAGACAATGAGCTTCATGGCTCAGAGCACTCGGCTACACAGACAGCACTGAGGGAGAGCCACCCCTGCAGGGGACACCTGCTTCCACCACACGGAAACAGCTCAGCTGTGTTAACATTGGGGGAAGGAAGGCACACTCACAAGTGGGGGTTGCAGGGTGCTTTGTTACATCAGTCTCTCATTACCCTGTGATGGCACCATTATAATGTTACTGTTTTGGACCTCTGCATATAGCCTGAGGCTCAGTGAGTAACTTCAGGCTGCTGGAATACTATCATCCTCTGTGTCCCCCAAACCAGGACAGTGCCACAGAGTAAGAAGGCAGTAGTAAAACAAGACAAGTGGAGACAAACACTCCACAGAACCTTCAACTCACTTCTGCACACTGAAGGGCATGGATACAAGTCACAGCACAGGGCATACACACGGTCCAGATCAATCCAGCACCTGGTACACTCACAGCCTAGACCAACCCCAACACCTGCACACTCAGACTAGACCAACCCCAACACCTGCACACTCACAGCCTAGACCAACCCCAGCACCTGCACACTCATAGACTAGACCAACCCCAACACCTGCACACTCACAGCCTAGACCAACCCCAGCACCTGCACACTCATAGACTAGACCAACCCCAGCACCTGCACACTCATAGACCAGACCAACCTCAACACCTGCACACTCAGACTAGACCAACCCCAATACCTGCACACTCACACACAAGACCAACCCCAGCACCTGCACACTCACACACAAGACCAACCCCAGCACCTGCACACTCACACACAAGACCAACCCCAACACCTGCACACTCATAGACCAGACCAACCCCAACACCTGCACACTCACACACAAGACCAACCCCAACACCTGCACACTCATAGACCAGACCAACCCCAACACCTGCACACTCACACACAAGACCAACCCCAACACCCAGCACACTCACACACAAGACCAACCCCAACACCTGCACACTCAGACTAGACCAACCCCAGCACCTGCACACTCACAGCCTAGACCAACCCCAACACCCGGCACACTCATAGACCAGACCAACCCCAACACCTGGCACACCCACAGACCAGACCAACCTCAACACCTGCACACTCACACACAAGACCAACCCCAACACCTGCACACTCAGACTAGACCAACCTCAACACCTGCACACTCACAGCCTAGACCAACCCCAACACCTGCACACTCATAGACCAGACCAACCCCAACACCTGCACACTCATAAACCAGACCAACCCCAACACCTGCACACTCACACACAAGACCAACCCCAACACCTGCACACTCATAGACCAGACCAACCCCAACACCCAGCACACTCACACACAAGACCAACCTCAACACCTCTGGCACACTCACAGAGCAGACTAACCCCAGCACCTGGCACATTCATGACATAGATGGGATCTTTGGAATGTTTCCAACTACACATGTAACAGCTTCTCAGAGAAATAGTTAGCCCCCGGCTGGGCATGGCATGCGATAGGCCTTGTCCTTAGAGACATCACGGCGCCCACTAAGGACCTCCGTATCTCCTCCATGAGGACTCAGGGCTGATGCCCACAGCCAGGTGCCCACTAAGGACCTCCGTATCTCCTCCATGAGGACTCAGGGCTGATGCCCACGGCCAGGTGCCCACTAAGGACCTCCGTATCTCCTCCATGAGGACTCAGGGCTGATGCTCACGGCCAGGTGCCCACTAAGGACCTCCGTATCTCCTCCATGAGGACTCAGGGCTGATGCCCACGGCCAGGTGCCCACTAAGGACCTCCGTATCTCCTCCATGAGGACTCAGGGCTGATGCCCACGGCCAGGTGCCCACTAAGGACCTCCGTATCTCCTCCATGAGGACTCAGGGCTGATGCTCACGGCCAGGTGCCCACTAAGGACCTCCGTATCTCCTCCATGAGGACTCAGGGCTGATGCCCACGGCCAGGTACCCACTAAGGACCTCCGTATCTCCTCCATGAGGACTCAGGGCTGATGCCCACGGCCAGGTGCCCACTAAGGACCTCCGTATCTCCTCCATGAGGACTCAGGGCTGATGCCCACGGCCAGGTACCCACTAAGGACCTCCGTATCTCCTCCATGAGGACTCAGGGCTGATGCTCACGGCCAGGTGCCCACTAAGGACCTCCGTATCTCCTCCATGAGGACTCAGGGCTGATGCCCACGGCCAGATGGGATGGAAAGATGCCAAGCAGAGGCTTCTCTGTGACTGGTGGGAATGTTCTAAACTTAGACTGTGGTGATTGCTTTGCTACACAACAATTACATAAATAACCCACACACACAACAATCCACCAAATGGTGACTCTTTCAGTATGTAAATTACATGTCAATAAAGACATTTCAGAAAGAGAGGGAACAAGTGTGTGTCACAGTAAGTAAAGGCACCACCTGGGACACCTGTGTCCCCTTACGGGAGTGTCTGATTACAGCCCTAAGTCTCCAATCCAGCTCCCTGCTAATGGGAAGTGCCAGAGGACGGCCCAAGTACTTGCATCCCCTGTCCTCCCTGATTCCCTCAGGGACAGCAGGGCAGACCTGGCCCAGCCATTCACACCTGCCCACCTGCCTTCAGAGGCCAGCAGGGGAGGTGAGGTCAACAGACTACACGACAGGGGTGTCACAGAAACTCATAGTGACCTGAGAAGCTGACACACAGATGGAGTTAAGCCAGTGTTTGCAAATGTTCATCTAAAACACAGGGCAGCACGTGGCAGGTGCATCTGCCCATGGGAAGGCCTCATCCTCCCACCACCGAAGTGATGAGATGGAAGAGGGGACCAGGCCAGGGTGGCCCACTACTGAGACAGGACAGATTGAGGCCAGCCCAGGAAGACACGGCCACACAGGGACAGGAGGATACTGGTGGGCTGCAGTCACCTGGCCCAGGCCAACACCATGTCACAGATCTGCTCTCTTCCCAGTGCCCGAGCACTCAAGCTCCCAGCTTGCCCTCACTCCTTCCTGCCCCCAGAGGTGGAGACTGCAGCAAGAGAATGTGAATCCTCTGTTCTAGAAACAGCCACAGGTGAGACAGGACCGCTGAGCTCCAGCTAGCTCCAGTGAGAGCTCAAAGTAGACTCAACGCTTCCTCCCACTCCCTTTTCAAGACACAGTGACTCGGGAGACTGAGCCCATCCATGAACATGGGGATGGCGCAGCACTGGGGGAAGAGAGGGGCAAGGTGGTGGGGTTTCACACCTGGCCAGTCCTGGGGAGCCCACTGGGTCATCACTTACTGCCTGGTGGATGTCCGTCTTCACCCGCTCGCTCAGCATGCCCTCGAAGACAAACGAGTCACCAAACCTCTCGGCCTGGAGGAGAGGAGACAGACAGCTGCCAGCAGTTGTGGTGGGGGGCCCGCGCGTCTGCACACACCAAAGCCATTCTACCCACTGGGAACTTGGAAACGCAGCCAGCCAAAGTCCCTACAAAGTCCCTTTTCACACCAAGATCTGCTTGCCTGATAAGGCTGCAGACGTGGCAGAGAGGACGTTCAAAATCACATGCGGAAGCTACGCATCAGCTGCTCCTGGAGTCACGTGGAGAGTAGGAAGGGACGGGTGCACCACAGATCCAGAGCCCCAGGTGCCCACCTGCACAGGAGTCCTCAGACACTGGTGGCTCCTCCTCAACAAACATGAACCCACATGCCCGGTGCGGGGCAGCGTACAAGTGTGAAGCACAGCCAAACAGGCCTAATGTGCCCCCGAAACAAAAGGAACCACAAAGATGCACAAAGACCTCGAGCTACTTAAGTCCCAAAGAACCAGGGCATGCTAGTTTGCTTCCAACACCCACTCTCAAATTACTTTAAGTACGTATATTAGTGGCCTAAAAACACAGAGCAGGCGCTCCATAAACTCAACACAAGGTAAGGATTCTCAGGAGGAAATTGGAAGCATTCTAGAACACAAGCAGGGACCTAACACTCACCAACCAGGAGGCCCGCTGGGTCCCAGTCCGGGATGTTCAGGGGCCACAGGGTGAGGCCTGGCAGCAGCGCTGGAGAGCACGCCCACTCTCAGGGCAGACAACGTGCCCCAGGTCTGGCTCTGCCTCCTAGGAAAGGCAGCCACTCCCAGAGCAGTGGCACTACCACAACCTCAGAAGACAGACTGACCTCACTGCCCATACCCATGCCATCGGCATCAGGGGACCCTGAAGGCACAGTGACGCTGGCTGGCACTCACAGGTGGAAAAGCTTGGGGTGCACGTCAGGGAGTAGGCCTGCACCCTGCAGGAATGCTAACTGGCCAGGCAGCTCCAGGCAAACTGCCTTCCTATCTCCAGACTGGCCGTTGGTGGGCTGGCAGCAAGAGATTAAATGAGATAGCATTGTCTTTCATCACCCACGGGAGACTGGCTCCAGGCCCTCCCATGGACACCAAAACCCAAGGACAGAGGAATCCTTTGGGCCAATCGATGTCATGTTTGCACGGAGCTCACTCCCATGACCTGTAACACATGACACGTGGCAATGTCATGGGTACGGCTGTGGTTCTGTGCTATCCAGGGACCAGATCTGAAACCCTTCTAGGGTGCAGACACTCATATTCATCTCCCAGCTATCTGTTTCACACAGACACACACAGACCGTGAACTTCTAATTCTCACGCGGCTACAACTCAGCGCCCATCAGTCAACTTTAACCCTTCCCAGTAGCGAGCACTACAGTTCCAATCGCTGGGATATCCCATTTACATGGACCCCACCCACGCATGGCTGAGGTCACACAGATACCATCTTGCTGTGACCTTCCTCAGGCCCCGTGTTCTCAGCATGGTGCCCGGCACAGGGTCAAAGCGGCCAGCATTAGCTGCAGTCCCAGCACCCCGAGACGCTCCTCCTGCCCAGGCACTGTTACCTCTGTCAAGTAGCCTGTTGAGTTCACAAACTTCTCAAAGTCGGCATTACTGACTTCATAGGCGTCCATGTAAAAAGCGTCCACGGCCACCCTCCTGGCAGGCGCCTCCCCGTCCTGCTTTATCTTAGGATCATCTGTGCCCATGGTGAACACACCGGCAGGAATGAGGACCATCTGCAGTAAAAGGGACAACACAGGGGTTCAGAGGTCATAGGGGTTGGGCTCCCAGCACCAAGTCAGCCATAGCAGACAGGCAACCCCCACTGTGGACATCACTGTGAAGTTCCTGTATCCTTCACTAAAGGCGTCACCAGTCACAAAATAGAACATCTTCACAAAAGTGATCTGTTTAGGGCAATAAGATCTGCTTTCGTGAAAGTCACAGCGACAAAGAGGGAGAGAAAGACAGACACCTTCCCAGGACTCTACTGCTCAGTCTACACCTTAGGAGAAAGGAGGCTGTGGGCACAGGCTGGGACACAGCTCCCAGGGCAAAGGCTGCTTCAAGCACACAGGCTGGGACACAGCTCCCAGGGCAAAGGCTGCTTCAAGCACACAGGCTGGGACACAGCTCCCAGGGCAAAGGAAGCTGTGGGCACAGGCTGGGACACAGCTCCCAGGGCAAAGGCTGCTTCAAGCACACAGGCTGGGACACAGCTCCCAGGGCAAAGGAGGCTGCGGGCACAGGCTGGGACACAGCTCCCAGGGCAAAGGAGGCTGCAGGCACAGGCTGGGACACAGCTCCCAGGGCAAAGGAGGCTGCGGGCACAGGCTGGGACACAGTTCCCAGGGTAATTATGTTCTATACAAACACTGGCTGGGACAGAGCTGCCAGCTGCGTTACTCTTTAAAGCCCAAATGCAGAAACAAGCCACAGGGTGACAGCTGAGCAAGATGGACAGTGACTGCCACAACACAGATGGAAATGCAGAGCCAGGCAACATCATGGATGCGCCTCGAAAGCTCCCCAAGGCCACACGGGGCTCATGTCTACTCCTGTGGAACAAGGACCAGAGAATCCAGAGGTGGGGACACAGCTAGGTGGGCGCTCGGGGCTGCAGGGAAGTGGCAGGTGGAGGTCTCAAGTGGGCTGGGGTTTCTGTGTGAAGAGACGTGGAACTGGACCGTGATGACAGTTGGGACCACAATACGGTCTCTGTGAATAGACAACTGACAGACATGCAAGTGACTGCTGAGTCACACTCTCCCTTGCGCCACTAATGAAGTCTGTGACTTCTTCCCACCCTCCTGGACTTGGAGCCTCGTTCACAGATCGGAGGCTGATGCTTCCTAAGCTTCTGAAAAGCCTAATGAAAGCTAAGACAGTGCGTCTGCAAGGAATGGCTGGTTAGAGAAACCAAACCTAGAAACACAAGTTGGGTGCCAGGGACCACAGGTTCATCCATCTCCGCTGACCCTCCCGGTTGGCGGATGCTTCAATCCCACGCACATGCTTCCCATAATGGGACCATTTTCATCCAGGATGGAAGAGTAATGAAAGGTGGCTTTCCTAAGAAATGACTGTCCCCAGTCATCTGGCTAGGCTACTGTCCCTGGACCCCATCTCGCCTGATGCTGTTCCCAGACACCTGCAGCAACCTCACCTTCAGTCTCACTGTCTTGTGTCAGCCCCCAGAGCTCTTGGCGCTCCTGAGCCCTGCACCATTCAGCTCAGCCCACAGGGAAGCCCTCCCGAGCCCTGTGAAGATGCCAGTCTCTGGCCCCCGGTGCAATCATATCTCCACTGCCTGTGAGTGGAGCATCTGGGTTGTGGCTCAACTGTGACATGACCTACGTAGTCAAAGGGAAGAAAGGAAGGAAGCAGAGGGAGAAGCTGGATGCTCCCAGTGCATTACGAAAAGAGATGGGCACTCCAGGCAAAGCTGAGAACAGAACACGGTGCTGCTGCTACTGGTGGCACTGACAGAATCGCATTCTCCACCTGCTCTTAGAAGAGGCAGCAGGGGCTGGGGGAGGGGCAAGCTTGCTCACAATACCCCCTTCTACACCTCGGTAATTGCTGAATCGTCTAAGTGCATCAATTGCTGAAAGGTAAGCTGGTGATATGATCACAGCATTTTCCTCAATTCTTCAAACCCACCACCTTCCAGGCAAGATGGCTCCACCTCAGAGCCCAACCTCACCCCATCTCTGACCCCGCGTTTCTGAGTGAGGTCCATGCTGCAGGCTCCCACCTCCAGGAGGCCCTCCCTGACTGCGGGCTGTCTCACGCGGGCTGCCCTGATGCATGCCTCCACCCACCCTAACTGTGACACGCCTGGGGTCCCAATCTAGCATTCCCAGATTCCCAAGGGCACCAGAAATAGATTCTTCATTTCTGCCGCCCCGGCACTACCCACAGTTGACACAAAACATCTCTGCCAATTGCAGAAGCGTGAATGTGAGGAACAATCCACCACGCATGAAAAGTCTAACTTGGTTATAACCCGGTCCCAGACACACACAAGTCTTGTTATTTCAAAACAAGGTCAGTGTGGTGGTGCAGTGACTAAGCCACGACCTGCAATGTTAGCATTTCCTGTGGGCTCTTGCTCCATCTGAGCTGCTCCGCTTGTGTCCCGGCTCCCTGCAGACGAGCCGAGAAAAGCACACAGGACGCCCGAGTGTCTGAGCCCCGATGCCCACAGGGAGAGCTGGATGAAGCACCCAGCTTCAGTCTGGCCCAGCCTGGTCCACTGCAAACCAACAATGGAAGATGTGTCTCTCTCTGTCTCTCCCTCTCTCTGTGCGACACTGGCCCTCAAATGAATAAATCTTTTTTTTTTTTTTTAACAAACAAACAAATGAGGTCTACAAAGAAATAGAAAAGCCAAAGACTTTGGAGAAACCTTCAAGAACAGTCTCACAAGGACACTACAAGGAACCACAAAAGGCCTTCCCGCAGGAGCCCCTGTCGGCAGAGTCGGCCCCTGAGGCAGGGGGCGTCCAACTGGATCAGGGCTCACCATCGCTCCTCCCCCACTCCCTCTCCTTGGGGTGGGCACCCCCTGTGCAGCGGACGGCTGGCCCAGTTTCTGTCCCCGTCGTTAATGAGGAAGACGGCCAGCACTGGGTGAGCCATGGCTCCATCCCCGAGGCTCAGATAAAAATAGCCAGCGCCGCCCTGAGCAGAGCCGTCCTCACAAGCCACGCTAATGAAGTTTTCTGTCCTACAAACAGAAGATGTCACTTCGGTGAAATCCAGGGCACCAGGTGTCTCACTCCGCGGGGGCCCGAGGCACAGGTGAAGAACCACGACAGCCCAGTGCTCACCGACGGTCTGGCCTGAAAGGGCCGGCTCCTCTGTGGGCAAGGTACATCCATGCGGGATGCAGGAGCCAGGGCGCAAACGACCCTGCTACTGCTACCACCTCCTTGGGCCACCTGCTCAGGCCAAGGACAGGTGACAGCTGCCCTTTCTGTGCACCGAGCAACTGCACCCCCTCCCTGTGACAGCACCTGAGGTCCCAGTAGAAAGCCATTTCCTCACTTAGGCACCTGCGCCCCAGGTATAGCTGAGAATTAACTCTACCTGCCAGGACCCAGGCCTGGCCAATCACAAGCCAGCTTCGTCACAGAGCTATAATGATGGCTAGGCCTTGACCCAACGGAAGTACACCTCTGCACTTGTGCTGCCGGGAGCTTCCAGGAAAGGGGGAACTTTCTCCCCCACTGACCTTCTCACAGGAAAGACGACGCTGCCAGCCAACAGCCAGCCCGACAGGAAGGGAGCAGGGACAGTGCTGGGCCCTATCTACTCCTGGACATCCCAATGCAGACTGACAAATGTCCTCTCCCCTGCCTTCCTCCTCTCAGGCCAGCTTCAACGACCTCTTCAAGCTCACACACACCCTTGGGTGTAGCCCTTTTCCCTTCCCTGCCTACCAGGCCACCACCCCAATGGAACAAACTCAAAGATTAGCAGAAAGCTGCTCGGCACCCAGGGAATCACACTCCCCAGCAGGCCCACGGCCACGGCTGCCTCCATCCACACAGCCTTCTCCCCCACCTCCTATGCCCATACTGAGCCCTGGTTCGAGTTCCATCTACTCCACTTCCCACCCAGCCTCCTGTTGGTATTTCCTGGGAGCCAGCAGACAAAAGCTCAACCGCACAGGGCCCTGCCACAATCCAGGAGATTGGGAGGAAGCTCCAGGTTCCCTGCTTCAGCCTATACAAGCACATGGATGCACCAGCCTCACTGAATGACGCCTCTTTCTCCTCTAGTCTCAGCGGGAGAGCCTTGCTTTGCAGTTGAACACATCAGAACTTCTGAAAGAGCAGGCATGCAGTATGGTAGTCAAGATGCTAGTTAGAATGCCTGAATTCCACGGCAGTGTTGTGGTGCAGTAGGTGAAGCTGCAGGCTGCAATACCACTGTCCCCAATGGCCACCAGTTCAAGTCCAAGTAGCTCCACTTTCAATTCTGCTCTCTGCTAATGGCCTAGAAAAACAGTGAAGATGATTCCCTGCCACCCACATGAGCTCCTGACTTCAGCCTGGCCCCCGTCCCAGCCATCTGAGGAATGGACCAGCAGATGAAAGATAGCTCATTCACTCTCTTTCTCCCCCTCCCCACCCGCCTCTGTAATTCTGCCTTTCAAATCACTCAATCATACAGGAGAAAAATTAAATAAATAAAGCAAGCTGGCCCGTATCTGACGCTGCAGGGCCTGGTTCCGCTCCCAGCCCCAGGTCCAGACCGCAGCCCCTGCTGCCGCGGGCACTGGGAAGCAGCACGCGACAATGGCTCAAGCAGGCCAGCCTGCCCCTCATTGAGCTTCCAGCTTCCACCCCCAGTACTGCAGGCATCCAGGTGGACCAGGGCTGAGCACATCTTTCAAAGTACCAAATATCCTTTATTTCCAAAGCAGTTTCTCAACACTGTCCTCACTGCTAAAGGCAACAAATCTCTCAAGGAATTGTTACAGGACATTTGTAGTCTGGAAGGCCCTTGAAGGGGACATGGAAATTAAAGCAAGCCCCAAAATGCCCCCAGTGTAGGACATCAGAGGATGATACCAACAAAACTAAAGAAAATACACACGCGAGGGGCGGAGTTGTGATAAAACGGGTAAAGCCAATGCCCGTAGCACCAGCATCCCATCTGGAAGCATCAGTTCAAGTCCCAGTTATTCTGCTTCCAATCCAGCTCCCTCTTAGGTGCCTGGAGGATGTTCCGAATACCTGGAAACCTACATCCATGTGGCAGACTCGGAAGCTCCTGGCTCTTGGCTCCCACCTGGTCCAGACCTGCTTTCTGTAGCCAACTTGGAAGTAAACAAGCAGGTGGAAGGCTCATCCTCTGTTATGCTACCTTTTAATTCAGTCAATCTTTTTTTAAGAAAATAAATATATGTATATGTGTATACACACATCCTGCTATCAAGCAGCAGAAAGCATGGTGGGAACACAGAGGATTAAAAACAAAACCTTGTTGAAAGACCGTTCACAGGAGAGAGGCCCGGGGCCGGGTCCACGCAGACGCCAGCACGAGCCCTCCAGACCGGCATCTTGAGTGTGCACACTGCCGAGAACAAAGCCAGCACACACGGGAGACCTTGCACACCTTGTTACCAAACTGCTGGGATCACTCTCCAAGGAGAAGTGTATTTTTTAAGCAGACATGCACCATCCTTTAAAATGTGTGCTTTTCCCACCCAATTCTTGCTGCTGTCACTTTCCGGTAAAACTGCCAAGTGCCTGAGAGGAGCATAAAGCAGGCACTTACTGCTCTGCATGCTCCTTATGTGGACTAAAACGCACACACCTCAGCAGTGTGACAGGAAAAGGTGTGATGTCAACCCCGCAAACACCCACGGTACTTCACAGCACGGCACATGCTGGCTGCAGAAGGGAGCAGAAGACGGTCCAGGGCTTTGGACCCCTGCTACTGACGTGGGAGACCTGGGAGAGCTTCTGGCTCCTGTCAGAAGTTTCACCCACTGGAGCCACTGTAGCCATCCGCGGAGAACATCCGTGAAGGAAGACTCTCTCTGTTTCTTCCTAACTCGGACAGAAGTCCTGAACTTCCTGAGTTAAGAGCAACACCAAAGCAGCAGGGTTCAACCACACGGCTAACGGCCCGGGAGCAGCCAGTCGCACAGGGCAGGGCACCGATGCCAGCAACACTGCCATCCCATATCTGAGCACAGGCTCAAGTTGCAGCTGCCCTACTCCTGTTCCAGCTCCTTGATAAATGCCCGGGAAGGCAGCCCATGCTGACCAAGAGCTCGGGCCCTGCTCTGCACCTGGGAGAGCCAGAGGGAGCTCCCGGCTCCTGGCTCTGTGTTCATCTAGTTTAGCTGTCGCGACCATCTGAGCAATGAGCCAGCACATGAAAGATCTAGAACTCTCCCCGTCATTCTGCCTTTCAAATAAATAAATAAATCTTCCTTTTTAAAAAATAGTTCCAGAAGGCTTCTGAGCCACATACACACCAACCACAAAAGGGCCACTGTTGTAGGACAGCTTCATCATTACAGAAAAGGACCACCAAAGCTGGGCAAGGCTGTGCGGCAGGGATCCACGCCCATGAACACAGCCACCAAGTCTCCTAGCTACACAAGACGCCAACACTGCTGGGAGGGCCGGCAGCAGGAACTCCTGCAGCCAAGAACAACCGGGCGGAACCAGGCGGTGCAAGTACCCCGCCCTCACTCTGCACAGCCCAGGTCCTTCAGTGTCCCAAGGTCACAGCGCAAAGCCTAGGCAAACAGCAGCAGGGAGAAACCGGGCGAGAGGTGGCACTGCCCACCGAGTTCTGGGGCCGGGTGAGAATTAGCCCAGAGCAAAGAAAGGTGGGATGGGAGGAGACAAGAGCACTAGATAAAGGAAGACCTCGGCAGGCAAGCAGGGCGCCCACTGCCCTGACTTCCATATGCTAGACCCTAGGGCGTCCAGGGACGGGGCAAGGCACAGAGAACCGACCGCAACAAAAGATTGCTAGTCCCTCCTAGGCGGACAGCAGGACACAAACTACCACGCCGTACCCTCTAGAAGCGAAGCCCGCTGGAGCAAGACAACAGACAAGTGGGAGGCACAGAGGCTGCAGAGGAGGATGCCCGGGGCTCCCATTTCTGCAGTTAACAAGAAAGGAAGCGAGGGTTTAAGATCATGAGCTCTACCACAGGAGGTCAGTTGAGGCTGAGAGAGACGAAAGAAAACAGAATGCTCGGACCCAACTTGCTCGGCGCCCAGGAGCGAGCGGAGCCCCGAGCCCCAGCCCGCCTTCCGGGGCGGCACCACTCCGTGTGTGCTCCTACCAACCCCGGGCCTCGCCCAGGCCAGCCCCGCCACACACACACGCTCCGAGGAACCGAACGAGCACCTTGGTGGGCGCCGGCGGCTGCTCCCCGGGGACCGGGCCCGGGGCATTCGCCTCCCGCGAGTACAGGTGCGCGGCTGCGGCACTGCCCTGGGCCCCGGGCCGCTGCGGCGTGCCGCAACCGCACGAGCCCGCCCCGGCCCCGGCCTCCTCGTGCCCCGCCGCCCGGCAGAGGAGCAAGAGCAGCGGCAGGAGGAGAACGCGACCGCGTCCGCGACCGAACCCGGAGGAGAACCCGCGAGCTGGCTGCACCGCGGGCGCAGCCATGTTGTCTGGCGGACCATGTGACCCGCTTGGTCACGTGGCCCTACCCACTTTAAAGGAGCCGGCCCTGGCCTGGAGAGCTTGGCTGGCAGGCCCGCGACGACTTCTGCAGAACCCCAGACGCCCCTTTGTGATGGTTTAGCTGGGGAATGGGAGGCAGAGGCGTCCTCACCTCACCCCGACCTGCGGACGACGACCTGCCAAAGAAGCGTGCAAAAGCGAGCTCGAAGCCCGGGAAACCTGACTTTGAGGGGCCATGTGGCGGGGAACATCCACCCTGCTCGGGGCTCACTCCTGGGAATGATGCAAGTGCGGGACTTGGTCGCAAGGAAGAGTTTGCGGCCGGCTCTGCTTGTGCGTTTGCAGGACACAGAACACATTTCTCGCCACCTTTTTTAAAAGAATCATGTTCTGGGGCCGGCAAAGCCCCAGTCTGTGCTGCTGTGGACTGCAGTTTGAGTCCCAACTGCCCGCACTCCGGATCCAGCTCCCTGCTAGTGTTCTGGGAAAGCAGTGCAGCTTGGCCCAAGTGCCTGGGACCCTGCGTCCACGTGGGAGACCTAAACAAGCTCCTGGTCTCCGCCTGGCCCAGCCCTGACTATTGTGCCCATTGGGAACATATATATATATAATCATAAAGAATTTACTAACCCAAAACACGTGGTAGGGGGAGTGAATTATTACATTTCATTCCCAGCGGACAGGTGTTTACTGGCTAATGCACATTCAAGGTTTTACAATGTTTAGATTTTTTTTTAAGTATAAAAGAAAGTTCTTTCCTCCTTGTTGAAAATATCATGGTTTCCCAGGAGTTTTCATCGATCTCTTGGCTTAAGATTACAACCAGGTGTCAGGAGATCTGTATAAATAAAGTACAGAATGGGCATCCCCCTCTCAAAAGCCCAGCATGGGAAGCTTTGGGAGCCCTGGACTTGGCATCGCAAGTGGGAAATGCCACACCGGACCTCATGCGACACGACACAGAGGAAGAGCAAGGTCCCAAAAACATTCGTGGAATTACATCAGGATCATGTGTATTCTTCCTGATGCACCCCATTTCCAAGTCATGCTGCTCTGTGTGAACAAACAGTCAAAGTCCGAAACCCAGCACCCTCTGACCCCACGCATGTCGGATCCGGGGTACTGGGCTTCTGTGCCGGCTTCAGCAGCAAAGGTTCCACACAGCGTGTATTCTGGGATCTGGGACAGAGATCCGTTCTGGCCACTCCTTCCAAGGCTTCCATCTCGACACGCACTAGGCTGCCCGTCCACCAGTCAGGGCACAGAGAAGGAACTCGGAAAACACATACCAATCAACAGGACCTAAACAGGTGACAGTGATCGTCACGTATTTCTGTTAAGGAAAGGCAGATTGCTTTCAAAACTGTGCAGGGATCCTCAGCTGCAGGCAGCTGCCTAGGTGGCCGTGTACATAGGCAGGGCTTGCGCTGCTGGGAGAAAAGCAGCCATTCTGGGCCTGCTTAATACCACATTTGTGTTAACTATACCAGTATGTCAGCAGAGTTGTTTGTTCTTTTTTAATTGTTATTCTTTAAAAAAAAAAAAATATGGCAGACCAGGCCACAGATAAACAAGGGGGCTGAGATTGAGGAGAGCTGGAGGACCTTTCTGAGTCAGCCCAACGTATGCGCCCACGTGGAGACCCAAGCTGGGCTAGTTAGCTCACTACTGCACACAAAAGCTAGGGTTGGGGGACCTCCTGGGACAGCTAGTCCACAGTACCAGTGAGTGTCATGGCACGGGTGGGCCACGTTTGGCTGGGCCGTGACACTAACCAACTTGCAAGAGAACCAGGCCTAGAAGCAGATTCTGTGGAAGATTTGTGGGCTTACCCTCTGGTTTGCTCGAGAACTGGGGGTGATGACGGACTGAGCTAGGCATGAACATGGAGCTCATCAGCACTCGTGGTACCGAGGTTAGGAATAGGCCAGGTTAGGCCAGGCTGTAGCACCTGCAGGTGCACCCAAGAATTGGGTATGGGGTGGGCCAGGCCCTAACATCCACTAGCACACATAAAGACCGAGACTCAGGAACAGACTATTCCAGCTAGGGGCCTAGCACCTGCTGGCACACATGAGATCAGGGTCTGGGAGTGAGCCTGGCAGGGGAACTTGGGGAACTCCTTTAGTGAGCTGTGGCCCTGCTGTTGAGCACATAAATCATGGCTACATGTGAACTAGTGCTGCTCTATCTTGTCAGTTGGGGGGTAGGTAGGAATCTGGGCAGAGCCTGGCCAAACCATAGCACGTTTGCATGTGTGGGAGCCAGGATGGAGTGCAGCCAGACCAGGCTAAGACATCACACCTACTGGTTTGCATGAAAGCCAGGGACAGGGGCAGGCTGAGCAGGGCTAGGCTACAGCACCCACCAGCAAGAGTTGGGACTAGGGTCAGGCCAGACCAGGCCAGGCTAGAGCAACCCATGGTGAGGGCCGAGACTGGTGGAGGGGAGTGGGCAGGGAGGCCATGCCAAGCTGGGTCAGAGCAACCAACAGCATATGTAAGCTCTGTGGCTGGGAGCAGGCCTGGAAGGGTAGCTAAGGGGACAACCCTGCTGGGCTGCAGTTCCCACTGGTGAGTGCTAGGGCCGGAAATGGGGAGTCACTGGGCTGAGCATGGCCACAACACCCGTCAGAATGTGTATGAGCTGGGCTAGGTCGTGACACCTGTTTATCCACATGAAAACCAAGTCTGGGTGGGCCAGCTAGGACTGGGCTGCAGCACTCACCAGAGAGAGCCAGAAAGGTTGTTGGCTGGACTAGCAAGGCCACAGTATCAGCCAGTGAGTGTTGGGACTAGAAGTGGGCCAAGTCAGGCTGAGCCAGACATCCACCAGTGTGCAAGAGATCCACAGTTGGGAGCTGGTCTGATAGGGAGCCTAGAAAACTCCTCTGTTAAGATGCACATTGTAAGATCAATAACCCTTTCCCTACTGTTTTTGTTGCATCCCATGTGTTTTGATGTTTTCGCTTTTATTTTTATTTCTTCCAAATGTTTCTTTTCTCTTGTCAAATTCATCGCTAGCTCGTGGATTGCTCAGTGGCATCATTTTGCTCAAGAGGGTCTCGGTTTTTGTTTTTCATTTCTTCACCCATGCGTTGGCGAGTTTTTCAATTCCATGGTGCTGTAAATTTTTTATTTTAATTTCATACCTGCTCTTTGTTTCGTGGCTTCTCATTTAAGGGAATGTATAGTGATGGCGTAATAGAGACTGTCATATTCAGAAATAAAGATACATAATGCAGTATGCATCCCTACTTTAAACCAAAGATGGACTCCCAATGAAAATGTTGGACCTATCTTGACAAGGGGATGCTGGACTGTCTGACATTGTCTGTACCAGCAGTGTCAGGGCACACTTAAGTAACAAACTGATGGAGTTATGACTCCTTATGAAGGTCTTTACTATTGCACTAATATGGGGGCAATCAGTCAGGGGTGGGAATTTGGGGATGGGGTAGGGAAATCCCAGACCCTATAAAATTGTACCATAAAATTCAAACATATATGAAAAAAAAATACTTTACCAAAAAGAAGAAGAGAAAGATGCAGCCCGAGCTGGCGACTATGAGAACTGAGGCTGGGGGCAGTCCAGGGCAGACTGGGCTACTCTACCCATTGGCAAAATATGGGTCAGATTTGGGAGAAGGCAGGAAACTGGGCCAGTCTGCAACACCAGCTGGCAGTGTGAGAGCCAGGATGGGATATGACACCTGCCAGTCCACATTACGGCCAGGACTGGGGCCTGGCCAGTGTTGGCTAGGCTGTAGCATTCCCAGCATAAGCTGGGACAGGGGCAGGCTGGCTGGAGCCAGGCTGGAGCACCCGCCAGTAAATGCTGAGACAAGATGGACTATACCAGGCTGGGCTACAGCATTCCCTGGCACATACGAGACCCTAGGCTAGGAGCAAACCTGCTAGGAGCTGTGAGGGGGTCCCTTGCTGGGTCACTGCTCCCACTGTGAGTCCCAGTCTGGGACTGGGGCAGATTACTTAGGCAGGGCTGCAGTAACCGTTGGCTTGCATGCAAACTAGGCTTGGGGGAGGGCCAGGCTAGGTCAGACCACTGCATCCATTGACATGTACAGGAACCAGGATAAGTGCTGATTGACAGAGCTTTTCTGCAGCATCCCTTGGCAAGTGCTGGGATAGGGTGCAAGTTGTATCAGACTGGACCACAGTATCCCCCAAAAAGTGCAAGATCCAAGACTGGAAGTGGGCACTCTCCTGCTGGGTTGCAGCTCCCGCTGGAGTGTATGAAAACCAGGGGCTGAGGTAGACCAGGCCAGACAAGGCAGCAGCACCCATCAGCATGTGTGTGGACAGGTTGTGGATTGGGGTGGCTGAGCTAAGCTGCAACACCCATCGGTGTATATAAGAGCCCAACTCGGATGCAGCACAGGTTGGACTAGTCTGCTCTACATACTGGCACACACAGGAACCAGGGCCATGGGAGGGCCTGATGGGGGTTATGGTGGGTCGCTCTAACTAGGCTGCAGTTCCTACTAGTATGCACAAGGAATAGGTCTGTAGCAGGCTGGTTGGGCTAGGTCGCAACACCCATCAACTTGCACAGACTTGGGGTTGGGGTTAGAACTGACCAGGCAGCTGCAATTGCCAGTGTGTGCATAAGCTGATGCAAGTGACAGACTGAATCAGACCCTGTACCAGCTGGCACATGCAGGACTCAGGTCTGAGGTCACCCTGGGTGAGGTTTGCTGGGAGACTTGCCAACTGGACCACTGGACTCAAAACTCCAGCCACAGGGAAGCCTGTGAGATTTATAGTCTAACCTTGGAATGCACATATTCCTCAATTGTTGATGCTTGTACACAACATCAAAAATGAAACAAAATTATACAGGAGCCAGTGTGGTAATGTTGCAGGTACAATCGCTACCTGTGATGCTGGTGTCCCATATGGCATCTATTCGAGTCCTGGCCACTTCATTTCCAATGCACTCTAATCCACTAACCTGAAAAA